GTCCCTTTTGACTGTAAAAGGTCAAAAGGTTAAGTTTGAATCAGCTGAAGTCGATGAAGAAGAGTCTGATGTAGTTCGCGGCTGTTTTCAGGTGATGCAGGAAGGAGTGGAGGAGGCACTCAGCAGCATCCTCTGTCCCCCTTTTGACCTTGTATGCAAACTGATTAGAATCCAGTTGTGCTCTGACAGACGGGAGGAATGTGTTCAGAATCAATAGTTTTGACAGGAAGAGTTTCTGGGACACGGGTTTGAGAGTGGATTTTTTCCATGTGTTTGGCACTGAAGCATTCCTGAAGTACTCCGAGAAGATTGAATGGAGAACTGGAAAGAGCTCAGTAGAGCACTGTGGAGTCTGCAGCTGTAAAAATCACCAATAGTGAACACTGGTGCCTCTGGATATTCACCCCTCATGCTGCTAGTACAGTTAGTCATGAGCTCAGCTGCAGCCTTGGTGTTGGTGGATTGTAAACACAGCTGATCACCACAGTGGGAAACTTTTTTGGAAAGTGAAAAGGATGAAGGAGTAGGGTCAACATCTGCAGGTCTTGGTACAGACACAGCTAGTGCTGGGCGATAGGACGATAGATATCGTGGGCACGATAGAAAATGTCTATCGTGCCATTTTTATTTTTATCGTTTCGGGCGATAGGCTGTATTTAATCCATAGGGCTTGTGCCATCAGATAATTCATAGTAACAACAACAATAATTGCACATTCAGTAAGTGTATTTGGTGTCAAACGGGAAAGAAAACAATATTTTCTTACAAAGAAAAGGATGCGTTGACATGTAGGCTCGCATTTCTCTTTCGATTTTGCGACATGACGCCGCTTTACGTGCCCTCTTCGTGTCCAGCGTCTCCCGCCGTTGCGGGTTACCTGGGTTACACACGTGAGGGGATCATTGTAAGCAGTGCTTAATTTGTGCCAGAGCAAGTCGGAGCGCGATCCGGGACCTCTTTTGATCGGATCCGGGACCTATTTCAGCCGCTCCGGCACCTGTTTCATCTGCTCCGGGACCTTCCCTGTAGAGGATGATATTTTTCATGAATTCCCGTGGGTCACGTGATTCCCGAGGGAATCCCACGGGATGGGAGTCATTTTTAAATAACCCCTTGATCGGGACGGGACGGGAAAAAAATCAACGGGAGTGGGCAGGAGCGGGAACAACATTAATTTTATTTTATTTTATTTTTTATTTTTTTACTGAACAAGACAGACAGTACAACCAACGAGAGACACATCACAACAATAACGACAAAAACAGAAAACAAAACACAGACAAACAACAGCCAGAGGACTTACAGTTCAATGGTACAGAATTTCTTCATTATAGAGTAAGTTTTGGTAGCTTTCTTGTTCTTAATATCCTTGATCGTGGCAGCATAACGGAGCAGTTCATTTTTGAAGGGTGCAATGTTTGGCTTAGATTTGGCCCATTTGTTTTTGTGAATATGGAATTTCCCCAAGCTCAAGATCAACTGACAAAAAAAGCACAGATCTTTGTCCCGGTCATCATAATAAATAAAAATATGTTTTTCCTGGAAACTGATCGTTCTTCCTGTTTTCTCGTGCACAAATTGTTGGACATCAATCCAAAAGGTTTTACTGTAGGTACAATGATAAAATAAATGAGAGATGGTTTCATCTTCAAGTCCACAGAAATCACATAAATATTCAATGTCCAGTTTGAATCTTTCAAGAGTTTTCTTTGCAGGGTAAATCTGATGTAATATTTTAAAAGAGACTTCTTTGACCTTGTTATTGAGACAGAATTTTTCACCAACCAGCCATGCATTACTCCAGTTAATTTCTCCCAATTGTACAGACCAGTTAGTTTGACCTCTAGGCAGTGTCTTTGGTTGTAGGCAGCTTCTCAACAGTCTATTCGAGCAGGGTCTTTTTGTAATGTCTATTCCGCCCACAAATATATCACAGGTGTAATTTCCTGGAATAGCAGCCGTTCTTTCAGACCCTTTAAGAAGTTGTAGCACCCCCTGAGGTAATGCATCAAAAACCACTGCATATTGTTTTGGGGTGACTGGGAGTTGAAATTTTAACATAAATTCTTCATAAGAAAGTAAAAAGCCATGGTTGTTAAGAAGTTGGTCGACTAGTAAAATGTTGTGCTCCATCCAGTCCTTGTAAAACAGTGATCGGTTTTTGTAAACGATGTCTTCATTGTTCCAAATATAATAGCTGGTTGGTGAGAAATTATGTTTGTAGATCAGTTTCCAGGACAGCAAGGCTTGTTTGTGAAAGTTAGAGAGTTTAACAGGAAGCTTCTCAATTTTGTAATTACATTTCAACATAAAGCGTATACCACCAAGTGAGTTGAATACATGTGTAGCAAAGGAATTCCAGAGGTTGTTCTTCTCTCTACATAACTTACTCAGCCAGTTGATCTTGAAAGAGTGATTCAATATTTCGAAGGTTAGCACATCCAAACCACCATCCCTCTTGGTATTACATAGAATATCTTTTTTAATAGAACATTAATACAACATTAATAGATGATCATTTTCAGCCGTGTTTAACAACCAGATGAACAGGTGCGTCCATTTTTGTAGTCATCTCTCAGTGAGAGCCAACACTCTTGACCGCGCTAGCAACACAAAAGAACTACAACAGTGGTTTGACTTCCTGTCAGCTGGGAGCGCGGCTGCGCATTTCTACCCTTCAAGTCAGGAGCGAGGAAACGTGATTTTGTGACATTCTGTAGTTTTTCAATCATTTCTGGAGTCGTGGCGAATCAAATCACCTTACCTGTCTGCCCCTGATAGGCGAATAAAGCGCTCGGATTCATGCTCGGGTCTTCCCACGTGCTTCAAGAGTAAAGTAAACAATGATGGAGGCATAGAGCAGCTTTGGAGGAGAAACATCCAGCAGTGTGAACAACCTCTTCAAAAGAGCCCTAAAGACCTACCTTTTTAATAAAGCCTTTGGTTAGCTTTCCTCTATGCTTTTACTACCTTGCCTCTTACATTGCAACTCTATATTCTTTTTTTTTTTTATTCTTTTATGCTTTTTTTTATGCCAATCTGTGACTGTCATTCTAATGCTTTTTTATTGTTGCTGCTCTTTTTTTACTGTGTACTGTAGCACTTTGAGATTTTTTGTAAATGTAAAGTGCATTACAAATTAAATTTATTATTATTATTATTATTATTATTATGGAGTGCTTTGGCTCACACTATCAGAGTTTTCTGTGAGTGTTGCATAACTTTGGGTGAGCACAGACATGAACGCACTTCAGCCACATATTTATTTATTCATTTTTCTAGTTTTAAGTGCTGGTCTTGTACTGGCACTGTACTAGTGCAGCTGTATACACTTAAATTTTTCATAGAACTGAAAGCATACCATAACTATATCGTGATATATATCGTTATCATGATATAAAATGATCCATATCGTAATATACATTTTTTTCCATATCGCCCAGCACTAGACCCAGCTGTGGAATTTAATGTTATGAAACCACCATTTGTTAACATACATGTAGATCCCTCCACCTCACTCCTTCCCCGACTCCCTGATCTGGTCTGCCCTGAATATGGTGAAGTTGTTCAGGTGAACCTTTGATATATTTATTCATTCATTCATGGATAAATACTTGACAGCTATGTGTTTTTATATGTTAGTTTGATCAGGTTTAGTAAAAGATGTTATTTTAATGATTGTACTTTAGATATGAGTCACAGTTCTGACAGTTTACAGAGTCATTATGATGATTGTTGGTCTGAGGGCTCCTCCTCTGGTGGCTTCATGTCACAGGTGTTCAGGCTCTGAGGGGTTTTTGTTCAGCTCTACAGATGGTTTGTGTTGTTGTGGGTCTCTGGCACAGTAATAAACAGCAGAGTCTTCAGTCTTCAGACTGTTCATCTGCAGATACAGCTGCTGTCTGCTGTTGTCTCTGGAGATGGTGAACCGGCCTCTAACTGAGTCAGAGTAGAAGATGCCACTACTATCAGTGTATATGAAAGAGATCCACTCCAGTCCTTTTCCAGGAGCCTGTCTGACCCAATGCATATAGTAGTCCCTGAATGTGAATCCAGAGGCTGTACAGGTCAGTCTGTGGGATTCTCCAGGACGTTTAACCACCGGCTCAGATTCAGTCAGAGTCTGACCACCAACACCTGAAAAGACAGAAGAAAAAAACCAACAGATTGAAGTGAGTTTGTTGTCATGAGGTGAAAAAGTCCAACTCAGATTAGTGATGATCTCCACCTGTCCAGCAGACAGTCAGAAGCAGCAGTCCTGTCCTATAGTCCATCATGTCAAACTGAGTGTCCACTGTCCTCTGTCCTCCTCTCTGCACTCACTGAAGTAGAGGAGGAAGACGGCTGACTTTGCATTGACTCCTCCTCTCAGAGAGAAAATTAATGTCACCTTCATGTTTTGTGGTTTTCATATATTTTGCTTAATTTTCTCATAATTTATCTTCATTATTAACTCCAGTTTGGTCTCACAGTGAAACACAACTTCAGGTACAAACTGATATTTTACAGTGTCCCTATTTTCTTCAACATAAAGGAAATCTTTAGTCTTCATCCCTCTATACAAACACTTTAGTTCTCACTATTTTGATTGAATTATATAACTTAAGTCTGTTCATGTTAATCATTATTCTTTAAACTTTATATCTTATTTTGATGACCATGTTAGTGAATAGGGAAGGAAAGTAGGTGAAGAGAGAGGAGAGGAACATTCAGCAGCAGGTGGAGGGTTGAAATAGTGATGAAGATGAGGATGATGATAGTGATGAAGATAACTGAATAAAGATATCTGACTGGTCTGATGAGGATGCACTTTGAAGTTGATGTTTACATTTGAGTCATGTTCTGTGAAAGGAGAGAAAAGTTTGATGGTTTCCTTTCTGACTGAAGTATTTTTATAGATCTAAATATATTTGTTTGTTAGCAATACTGTAACTCAGCCTGATGAGGAGAGCTGAAGGATCTTCTATAGTTCTATAACTGTGAGTCTGTGTGACTCAATATTAAACAGCAGAGTCTCCAGTCCTCAGACTGATCTCATTCAGGTACAGCTGCTGTCTGCTTCGTCTCTGAGGACTGTAAACCTGAACTCTGGTGTTTGTCTGTGGAGGTTTTTGAGCAGCTGCTCCGCTCTCTTCTCTCACTGTGTCTCTTCGAGCACAGAAGTAAACAGCAGAATCTTCTGCTGTCAGCCCCTGAACCTGGAGGTACTGAGTGCTTCTGGGCACATCTTCAGTCATGCTGAAGCGACTCTGGAAGGAGCTGGCATAGCTAGCAGAGTTTGAACCTGCATCCATCCTCCCAATCCACTCCAGAGCTCTCCCTGGCCTCTGGCGTATCCAGTGGATATAGTCGTCGGTCATGCTAAACCCAGATATGACACATGACATCCTCACTGTCTCTCCAGGTCTTTTCACCTCAGAGGGAGTCTGCTCCAGTTTGATCTCACTCCAAACTCCTGCAGTGATAGAAATTGTGATTATTCTCTAACAGACTCATCAAGAACAGGTCGAACATCTCCTAAAAGACCTAAACTGGATTCATTTTCTCACCGTGGATCGTAACTACAAATAATAAAGTCCAGATAAGAGTTCTTTCCATTCTTAGGTTCAGAGCTCTCTGATCTCAGTTTGTTAGAAATATCCTCAACTGTCCCAGTGCTGCCACAAGTTACTGATGGAGGGTTTATAAAGAGGAACAGTTTGCATAGACCTCCCTCTACAGGTTTAAAGGGGAACATGTGACATTTCCATAAGCAGAGGATCTCGACAACTGGAGACAAAACTATAAACCATCAGGGTCCCAGGGTCCGGTGTCTAAACCAGCAGCAACCAAAGATCAAGTTGTCCTCATGGTTTGGTAGTTTTAGTTTATAGTTTTTCTCTTTTTACAGAAGAAGGGATTGTTGGTGTAAGAGGAGGAACCGTATAGTCCAAGTAATTGTGTTATAGTGTGATATTTGTCTGAACACAAAAGAAGTATTCCTCTGTTTTTTCAGCATGCACATTGATCACTCGGGTCGAAAAAGACACTGTCTGATCCATCCTGTTGCATAGTTGTCATCAGTCAGAGAATAACCAGAGACCTGACAGGTGATGGTCAGAGACTGTCCAGGCTGAACAACCTTAGAGTCTGGCTGGATGAGATCAATACTGTTGACACCTGTGGAAACACAAACCAACATGATCTCCATCATTCATGTTCTTATTCAGTCTGTTTGATGGGATTATTAGTTTAAAGCTCCTCCTACTCCTCCCAGAGACAAGCAGGTAGGCGTGTCTTTATAGAGACACACATGAAAGAGAAACTGGACACATACTGCCTCCTGCTGTTTTTATAATGGAACTGCATTTTTATTTTTACTCCAATAATGTGACCAACTTTAGAGTCATAATATTCATCAAACTCAGAGCTGGGAACTCATCTGAGTATGTATTTGTTTTTGTTATTAAGGAGAGTGTTAATCAAATAATAATTCAGCCTTTGATTATCTGATCAGTGATTATGTTTTTAAGTATATTAAACAATGTTTTGTGGGGCCAAACAGGAATCTGTCAGTCATGTGACTCTGACTCCTGTAGGTTTTTGTACAGCTGCTCAGCAGACTCCAGTCACTGTGGGTCTCTGGCACAGTAATAAACAGCAGAGTCTTCAGTCTTCAGACTGTTCATCTGCAGATACAGCTGCTGTCTGCTGTTGTCTCTGGAGATGGTGAACCGGCCTCTAAATGACTCAGAGTACCAGGTGCTACTACCATCAGTATTTATCAAAGAGATCCACTCCAGTCCTTTTCCAGGAGCCTGTCTGACCCAGCCCATATGGTAGCTGCTGAATGTGAATCCAGAGGCTGTACAGGTCAGTCTGTGGGATTCTCCAGGACGTTTAACCACCGGCTCAGATTCAGTCAGAGTCTGACCACCAACACCTGAAAAGAAAGAAGAAAAAAACCAACAGATTGAAGTGAGTTTGTTGTCATGAGGTGAAAAAGTCCAACTCAGATTAGTGATGATCTCCACCTGTCCAGCAGACAGTCAGAAGCAGCAGTCCTGTCCTATAGTCCATCATGTCAAACTGAGTGTCCACTGTCCTCTGTCCTCCTCTCTGCACTCACTGAAGTAGAGGAGGAAGACGGCTGACTTTGCATTGACTCCTCCTCTCATAGGAATATCATTTGACTCCTCTCTCACTTTATTGTTGAGGTTATTGAGGTCATGTGTATTTTCCCCTCTCTTTACTCATCTTAGCAGCATTGTTGTTGACGTCACATTAGAATCATTATAGCGGATCATGGTTTTTGCTTGTTCCACCAAACTCTGTCTTGAATGAAGAAAAACAAAAACTACAGAAATGATTCATCGCTTGTAGAGACAAGACAGCATGAAGATGGCGCTAACTTTCTTTGCAGTGGTGCTCATTTTACAGGCGCCTAGCTCTTTGTTAAATCTATAACTGTATGTCAATAGGCAAGGTGGGTAGGTCCAAATTTCACCTGGGTGAGTATGTCATTGAAACTGATCATAAAAAGGTTGTGTAGTTTTTATGACTTAAGGTCCTCAAACACCGGGGCCGACACGAATATAGATCGTGAAATTACGAAATTTTTTGAGGAGAATTTTGTTAAAGCACACAAACCATCGTCATATGAGAAATCGGACGCTATGACTCTCCACAAGTCGTCCTTCAGGTCGTTTTCTTTGTAATATTTGTGTCTTTTATCAAAAATCACTCTGTTCTCCGACACCCAAACAATCAGCCGATTGGCCATGTTGGATATACCAGTGAATCTGACGTCGCAACAAAATCTGATTGGTCAGAAGTGGACACACAGTATGAGAAACTTTAGAAAAATCGACTGTGATCTGAAAAAATAAATGCCGCAATATCGCAGGACAGGAAAACATTGCTGATGTGAACGCTTGTATTGACAGGATACAGGTTAAAAAAAAATATTGACATCCGAAATAATCATACGAAAAAAATGGTCCCGGTTTGAAAGGACCTTTATGCTAAGAAGTTTTTTTTTTTCTGCAACTTTGAAGTTTTCTGTGACCTTATTGTCATCCACGAAACCTCTTGTAAATGTCACCATTTTCGGCCTTTTTTTTAAACACCTGCTTTTATTTTAGAATGAGAAAAGAACCGTAAGTAGCTCTTGCTAGCTCCATCAGCTTCACAGAGACCGTGGTGCACCTTTAGCGGTGTTGTTTCCTGCCAGTTTGCTTCTTTTGTTGTGTTTCTCCATGTTTCATGGTGTTTGTTAACTTTGAGCATGTGGTTTTATGTGAAGTGTAAGTTGTAGAATCTTATTTTTGACTGTGAAGATTGACTCTGAGGACGGACTGCTGTTTGTTGAGACACAGACTAGAGCGCTATTTCTGTAATGATTACAAAAGCTGATGTTGGCCTTTAAGGTCCTTACACAACAGGACCGACACAAATTTACGACGCGAAATTATGAATTATTTGGAGGCGAATTTTGACGCGCCTGACTATACACATCAAGCCCGATGTGATTTTGCAACTTTCTGGGGGGGAAAAAGACACGTCCCTGGTAGAAGCAAGAAGACTGACCCAACAGCAGACTGAGTGTTTTTCAGTTCTGATTAGACTCTAGTGTTGAGATTTCTGTCTTTCATGATAGCATGTACTGAGTCAGGCCAGTGCCAGATAAGAACATTAAACTATAATGCATAAACGTAAGGTAACAACCGAGACCTAATGGTGCTGTGACAGCAACGCTGTGACTGAGTTTACAGTGAAAATACTTATGGTATGTTGTATCTGAACAGGTTAGCTGAGCTAAAGTTACTTAGTACAGATGAAAGTTAAAACAAAGATAGACTTATTTCATCTGCTTTGGTGGACAAAACGGGCAATGCCGATTATTGTAAAAATGCTGAATATTGTCTGATATTATCGGCTTTGTCAATTATTGGTCGATCCTTACTGAGTAAGAGGCTGATCCACAGGTGTCTATAGACGGGGACACTGTCAACTCTTGGCCAACCTGGCTCTTAAAGGGAATGATAGGAGACTCTGTGATTGGTCTGATTCATGTTATACAAAAACACACCTTAAGATAATCAAGGGATTTAATCTGAGATCCTTAAAATAGAACCTTTAAAGTGTCTTTTTCTCTCTGTCTAACTCTGAACTGGTGTTATGATGATTGTTGGTCTGAGGGCTCCTCCTCTGGTGGCTTCATGTCACAGGTGTTCAGGCTCTGAGGGGTTTTTGTTCAGCTCTACAGATGGTTTGTGTTGTTGTGGGTCTCTGGCACAGTAATAAACAGCAGAGTCTTCAGTCTTCAGACTGTTCATCTGCAGATACAGCTGCTGTCTGCTGTTGTCTCTGGAGATGGTGAACCGGCCTCTAACTGACTCAGAGTAGAATGTGCCACTACTATCAGAATATATGTAAGAGATCCACTCCAGTCCTTTTCCAGGAGCCTGTCTGATCCAGCCCATCCAGTAGCTGCTGAATGATAATCCAGAGGCTGTACAGGTCAGTCTGTGGGATTCTCCAGGACGTTTAACCACCGGCTCAGATTCAGTCAGAGTCTGACCACCAACACCTGAAAAGACAGAAGAAAAAAACCAACAGATTGAAGTGAGTTTGTTGTCATGAGGTGAAAAAGTCCAACTCAGATTAGTGATGATCTCCACCTGTCCAGCAGACAGTCAGAAGCAGCAGTCCTGTCCTATAGTCCATCATGTCAAACTGAGTGTCCACTGTCCTCTGTCCTCCTCTCTGCACTCACTGAAGTAGAGGAGGAAGACGGCTGACTTTGCATTGACTCCTCCCTTCACAGAGATTGATCTCATTTCTGTCCTCTACTTTAACTCTTTTCATATTCAGCATGATCACATGTTTGTATATTAATGAGAAATAAACATTTGTATTTCATGAATCAGAGAGTGAGGTCCTCATATTTACTGTAACTGTACAGCAGTAACTCCTGATCAGCTCATCACTCTTAGTTTCTGAGTTTTCTTCAGAGGATGTGTTTAATCTTCTGACAGCTGAAGGACTTTTTTTTCATATCATCCTACATAGTAAGAATCGTTCTTTAGGAAGCCTGAAACCTTTGAATCATGGCCAACAACTGCCCCTTAAACACTGAAGGACTTTGAGATGATCAGAATAGTGGAGTCACAGTTTCACCTCAGTCCTACAGAGTTTAGATGAAATATTAAAACTCCTCAAATAAAAAAAAACATCATTGTGTAAATTTATATAAATATATGAAATAACTGGCTAATGATCGGTCAGTAAAATTAGAGTTAGTTATTTGGTGAAATTTATTTATGTATTTATTTGTTAATATATTGATGTATACTAAGGAGTGATGTGCTTTAGTTAAGTAAAATGCATTATTTTAATGATTGTACTTTAGATATGTGTCACAGTTCTGACAGTTTCCAGAGTCATTATGATGATTGTTGGTCTGAGGGCTCCTCCTCTGGTGGCTTCATGTCACAGGTGTTCAGGCTCTGAGGGGTTTTTGTTCAGCTCTACAGATGGTTTGTGTTGTTGTGGGTCTCTGGCACAGTAATAAACAGCAGAGTCTTCAGGCTGCATGTTCTGTCCGTTTAGAGTCAACGTGTTTCTGGAGGAGTCCAGGTCCATAGTGAATTTGTTCTTGAGTGAATCTTTGTAGTAAGTGCTGTATCCCACATATGCGCTTGAAATCCACTCCAGTCCTTTCCCTTCAGGCTGTCTGATCCAGGCTGACCGGTAGCTGCTGACAGAATAAGAGACCTGACAGGTGATGGTCAGACGTTGACCTGGCTGCACAGTCACAGAGGCTGGCTGAGTCAGCTGTTCACACTTCACACCTGTTGAAAAAGAGAAAATGTTTGGTACCAAATGATGGAGTTGAGCTGTAAAAGAAGAACTGTGGACTTTGACAGATCCAGACTGACTCACATCCAGCTGCCAGCAGCAGCAGCAGCAGCAGAGCTCCAGAAAACATGGTTTATGTTGAAGGTGAGCAGCTGTGAACTCCACTGACAGCCTGATGGACAGTTTTTATAGCTGAGGAACAAGGAAGCTCTCTGAGTTTGCATAGAATCAAACAGATGAAGCAGCAGCAGCAGAGTTGGTCTGCTCACTGTTTGGTAGTAATATTCATATTTGTATGAGATGATAATGATGATGAGGTGAAATCTGTTGATGATTTGACTGTGTCACAGGCTAATATCAGAACTATCCCTCCAAACTGGAGAAACCTCCTGGAAGTTCAATTTGTAATTGTTCTATAATAGGGCTGAAATTCACCTTACCCTTCCAGTGTTTCCCCGAGCTTTTTCACTTTGGCAGCGAGGTGGTGGGGCGTATGACGCAGACAAACGTCACCCTGTATGACATTTGTCTATGTCTACGTCATACAGGATGGCGGGAGATGAACCAGCGCTGTTTTTGAGGCTGGGAGAGATGATTAAGCTAGCATCCAAAAGAGAGTGTGCAGCGTTTTGATAAAAATTTAAAATGAAAAATTTAACATATATATTGATCTACGACTTCAATAACTGGGCTGGGATCTCGTTGGCAGGGCGGGGATACATTATAGGGGAAACACTGTCTTGAATCCTTGAAGCTCTTCTTTAGTTTGACGGTAATACTGCAGGAATCTAATGTTTCAGTGCTCATGAGTCAGTGCTGTTACCTTTGTGCTCAAATCACCTGTGTGTTTGTTTCTTTCTGCTCGTTCTTGTGTTCATTCTTGAAGAGGATCAGAGCAACACTCAGTCAGTCCTAGACTGCCCTCTAGAGTTTAAAGACAAACTGGAATATTCCAGTTTCAGCTTTCACTTCAAAAGGGACATTTTGACAGAGTTTCTCAAGTCTGTTGGAGAGTCTAAACTCAGACTGTGGATGTTGGATTCTTGAACTTGGACTGCAGAGAGAGGAGGGTCCTCTTTGGGAACATGAAACCTGTGGTTATTTTCATTCAACTGAATCTAGAAGGACTACATAACTTTCTGCAAAGATTTGAACTTGAATTGATTTTATGAAAATTTTGTTGCTGATAAAAAAGTCAATGCAGTCATCTGATGAAACTTCAGTCACAGCTGTTCAGTAAAAAAGAGTCCTGTAGGTTTTTGTACAGCTGCTCAGCAGACTCCAGTCACTGTGGGTCTCTGGCACAGTAATAAACAGCAGAGTCTTCAGTCTTCAGACTGTTCATCTGCAGATACAGCTGCTGTCTGCTGTTGTCTCTGGAGATGGTGAACCGGCCTCTAACTGACTCAGAGTAGTAGGTGCTACTACCATCAGTTTGAATCCAGGCGATCCACTCCAGTCCTTTTCCAGGAGCCTGTCTGACCCAGGCCATATAGTGGCTGCTGAATGTGAATCCAGAGGCTGTACAGGTCAGTCTGTGGGATTCTCCAGGACGTTTAACCACCGGCTCAGATTCAGTCAGAGTCTGACCACCAACACCTGAAAAGACAGAAGAAAAAAACCAACAGATTGAAGTGAGTTTGTTGTCATGAGGTGAAAAAGTCCAACTCAGATTAGTGATGATCTCCACCTGTCCAGCAGACAGTCAGAAGCAGCAGTCCTGTCCTATAGTCCATCATGTCAAACTGAGTGTCCACTGTCCTCTGTCCTCCTCTCTGCACTCACTGAAGTAGAGGAGGAAGACGGCTGACTTTGCATTGACTCCTCCTCTCAGAGTGATTGATCCTTTTTTTGTCGACTCCTAAGATGAGGGATTAGGGTGTTAAATTTGACTTTACTTAGAAAATGATTGAAGTTAACAGGAACCTCCCCTCTGTCACCTGTTGATCATTAAAAAACCAAACGTTAAATTTGAATCAGAGACGCTGAATGAATGTTTTTAATCTGATGAATCAGAGAGTGAGGTCCTCATATTAGCTGTAACTGTACAACAGTAAGTCCTGATCAGCTCATCACTGTTTTAAACTGTTTTCATTCATTTTCTGACAACTTAGAGCCAAGATACACTTCCAATATGATCCCACTCACTTAATGATTATAATAATAACTACTATTCTAAGAGAACCTGAAAACTCTGACCCATTGTTAGTTATTGTGGAGACACAGTTTCACCAAGTCAGACAGAGTTTCAGAAAAATATGAATTTTCTTCTATGGAAAAATAAAACTTCCAACTAAATTTTCATTATTTTTTTGTCAGTGTATAAAGAAATTACTGAAGATCTGTCAGTAAAAAAACATGTGGATCAATGAAAATAAAACTTTATTGATTCGTTTTTCTATTTATTTTTTTATGTACACTACAGGCCAAAAGTTTGGAAGCAAGATCAGATTTGTACAAAAAAGATCATAGTTTCATATCTATAATTTGCAACACAATAAACATGACTATTGTGTAAAGAGTAACTTACCAGAAGACATTTTGACTATAATTATGAGGTATTTGAGTTATTGTTGCTTAGACTTTGCTTTCTTTAAAGTAACCTCCTCTGGCTTTAACAACAGCTTGGTATATACCAGGCATTCGTTCACCAAGTTTTCTAAGGTCTGTTCCAGGGATTACATTCAAGCTTTCTTAAGTTCATTAAAAAGAGACGCTGATTCGTGGGACGCGTTTTTCTGACCGATCAATCCAATTCATCCCACACAAGCTCAGTTGGAGAAAGGTCTGGAGACTGAGGGGGCCAAACCATCTTTTGAAGAACACCTTCCTCTTCTTTTTTGTCTCGGTAACCCTGACAGAGCTCGGCAGAGTGCTTAGGGTCATTGTCTTACTGCAAAACAAACTTATGAGCCACAAGTCTGAGTCCAGATGGAGCAGCATGGTGCTGGAGGATGGAGTGGTACTGTTCCTTCTTCATGATACCCTTTACTTCAAACAAATCTCTTTCGTCCAGGTCTTTTTCTATCATCATAACTTCCAGGTTCCTCTAGTCTCCTTGGAGTGTAGTGGACTCCTTTGTTAGACACCATTAGGCGTTTTTCTCTTTCTGTGTATCCTTCTTTCCTCAACGTACAAATCTGTACTTTTGTTTCTTCACTCAGTTGCTTCTTTCTGGCCATTTTTGCGGTAGTTTGAACGCAGTTGAGATTTATTAGGATTTTTGTTGCAGACTCTCAAAAGACAAAAAGTTGAAGTGAATAATCCAACTGTGATTTGTTTTTTCGTTTTGCACTGAAGTTGTGACTCTTGAAAATGTTTTCAACCCTAAAACTAAGCCCTTATTATCTTTTGCTGACATATATTTAGCAATGGTCTGTTGACATCAATGTATATCTAAAGGTAAATGGAGTAAAATGGTGCATTTCCATGAAAGCAACATCTGATCATGGAGTAAATACATCCCAAAATACATCAAACTCATGCTGGATTTAAAAAAAGCATTGTGAGCAAAAACTTGAAGTTACTCCCAACTGTTCGGCTTGTAATGGTCTTGCTTCCAAACTTTTGGCCTGTAGTGTTTATCTGCATTGAAATGTTATTTTTTTAGTTGTGTATATTTATAAAAACAGAATAGTAATATATTTTAAATGTCACAATGATCAGGTTAAGTAAAATACATTTTTTAATGATTGTACTTTAGATATGTGTCACAGTTCTGACAGTTTCCAGAGTCATTATGATGATTGTTGGTCTGAGGGCTCCTCCTCTGGTGGCTTCATGTCACAGGTGTTCAGGCTCTGAGGGGTTTTTGTTCAGCTCTACAGATGGTTTGTGTTGTTGTGGGTCTCTGGCACAGTAATAAACAGCAGAGTCTTCAGTCTTCAGACTGTTCATCTGCAGATACAGCTGCTGTCTGCTGTTGTCTCTGGAGATGGTGAACCGGCCTCTAACTGACTCAGAGTAGAATGTGCCACTACTATCAGAATATATGTAAGAGATCCACTCCAGTCCTTTTCCAGGAGCCTGTCTGATCCAGCCCATCCAGTAGCTGCTGAATGATAATCCAGAGGCTGTACAGGTCAGTCTGTGGGATTCTCCAGGACGTTTAACCACCGGCTCAGATTCAGTCAGAGTCTGACCACCAACACCTGAAAAGACAGAAGAAAAAAACCAACAGATTGAAGTGAGTTTGTTGTCATGAGGTGAAAAAGTCCAACTCAGATTAGTGATGATCTCCACCTGTCCAGCAGACAGTCAGAAGCAGCAGTCCTTGTGTCCGTTTCACGTAGCAGGTTTAGTGGAACTCCGAGTTTGTTAACCCTGAAATCAGGGAAACTCTGAGTTTTCCGTTTCACAAAGGAGGGTTAGTTAAACCAGGGAGAGAGGGGTAACTCTAACCTGTTTCACAAAGAGAGGTAACTCAACCTCGCGGTCAGTTACCACAGTAACAGACTCCGTGAACCTAACCTGCTCGGGAGCAGGTTTAACTCAGTAAACCCAGAGTTTCAGGTGAGACATCGGCATTTTCTCATTTTGATCATGTTTTACATTGTCAAGTAAGTATTAAGTGGCAGTTTGATCCCTTAAAAAATGCTCTTTTCACACTCAAAACTGAATTTTACTCTCTTATTATGTTCCGTTAAATGATTAGGAATATTAAACTAACACAAAAACGGGTGGTGGTCCAGCAGCCCCACCTTTAACGGTGGCAGAGGAGCTGCCCCCCCGTTCGACGATCGCGGCCGGTCCGATCGCAAATTCCCCCCCCCCCCCCCCCCACAGACACACACACACACACACACACGCACACCAGTCCGACGATCGCTGCTACGGGGTGGGGGTTTCGATCGTCGGGGGGGGGGGGGGGGGGGGCTGCTGGACCACCACCCGTTTTTCTGGCATCTGCCCTCTTTCTGTTTCCTGAGTGAAAGTCCAATATTGAGTGTAGTGTGTTATAGTTTAATATATGTACATATACATACTGAGAGTTAGTTTAATATTCCTAATCATTTAACGGAACATCATAAGAGAGTAAAATTCATTTTTGAGTGTGAAAAGAGCATTTTCTAAGGGATCAAACTGCCACTTAATACTTACTTGACAATGTAAAACATGATCAAAATGATTCAAGCAGTTTCCCTGCAACAGTCTGTCATTGTGATTGCATGAGACTAGATTTAAAGTTACGCATTGACGCGAGCAGCGATTTCCTCCCAAGCCCTCTCCCTCTCCTTTGCAGCTGCTGCTGTATTGCACTTTCTTTTACAAACGTGCTGTAATTCGCTGTTGGCTTGCTGCTGCCCCTCCTTCTCCCTGTTTCCATTGGTTGATCATTGAATCTGCGCTCCACAGATGCTGGCTGTTTATGTCTGGCGTGCACGTGCTTAACTCCAGGTCAAACTACTCGGAGTTGTTAAAACCGTCTCAAATCAGGTGTTGTGAAACCGGAAACTCAGAGTTTCCTAACTCAGAGTAGATCAACTCAGAGTTAAGGATTTAACTCAGAGTTTGTTGAACCACCTACGTGAAACGGACCCCTGTCCTATAGTCCATCATGTCAAACTGAGTGTCCACTGTCCTCTGTCCTCCTCTCTGCACTCACTGAAGTAGAGGAGGAAGACGGCTGACTTTGCATTGACTCCTCCTCTCACAGGAATATCATTTGACTCTTCTCTCACTTTATTGTTGAGGTTATTGAGGTCATGTGTATTTTCCCCTCTCTTAACTCATCTTCGCAGCATTGTTGTTGACATCACATTAAAGTCAATATAGCGGATCATGGCTCATGCATGTGCCACCAAACTCAGAAGTTTTTTTTTTCTGCAACCTTGATGTTTTCTGTGACCTTATTGTCATCCACCAAACCTCTTGTAAATGTTGGCGTTTTTGGCCTTTTTTTTAAACACGTGCTTTTATTTTAGAATGAGAAAAGAACCGTAAGTAGCTCTTGCTAGCTACGTAAGCTTCACAGAGACCGTGGCGCACCTTCAGAGGTGTTGTTACCTGCCAGTTTGCTTCTTTTGTTTTATTTCTCCATGTTTCATGGTGTTTGTTTTAACTTTGAGCATGTGGTTTTATGTGAAGTGTAAGTTGTAGAATCTTATTTTTGACTGTGAAGATTGACTCTGAGGACGGACTGCTGTTTGTTGAGACACAGACTAGAGTGGTCTGTATTACTTTGTGTATTATCTATATTAGCTAAATTGCTAAACAGCGCTATTTCTGTAATGATTACAAAAGCTGATGTTGGCCTTTAAGGTCCTTACACAACAGGACCGACACAAATTTATGACGCGAAATTACGAAATTTTTGGAGGCAAATTTTGATGTACCTGACTATACACATCAAGCCTGATGTGATTTTGCGACTTTCCGGGGGGAAAAAAGACACGTCCTGGGTGGAAGCGAGAAGACTGACCCAACAGCAGACTGAGTGTTTTTCAGTTCTGATTAGACACTAGTGTTGAGATTTCTGTCTGTCATGATAGCATGTACTGAGTCGGGTCAGAACCAGATCAGAACATTAAACTATAATCCATAAACGTAAGGGAACAACCGAGACCTAATGGTGCTGTGACAGCAACACTGTGACTGAGTTTGAGACAGTGAAAATACTTATGGTTTGTTGTATCTGAACAGGTTAGCTGACGAGCGAAAGTTACTTAGTACAGATCAAAGTTAAAACAAAGATAGACTTATTTCATCTGCTATTGGTGGAAAAAAATACCTATTATTTTAAAAATGCTGAATATTGTCTGATATTATCGGCTTTGTCAATTATTGGTGGATCCTTACTGAGTAAGAGGCTGATCCACGGGTGTCTAAAGACGGGGACACTGTAAACACTTGGCCAACCTGGCTCTTAAAGGGAATGATAGGAGACTCTGTGATTGGTCTGATTCATGTTATACAGAACACGAATAATCAAGGGACTTTATCTATGATCATTAAAATTACAACCTTTAAAGTGTCTTTTTCTCTCTGTCTAACTCTGAACTGATGTTATGATGATTGTTGGTCTGAGGGCTCCTCCTCTGGTGGCTTCATGTCACAGGTGTTCAGGCTCTGAGGGGTTTTTGTTCAGCTCTACAGATGGTTTGTGTTGTTGTGGGTCTCTGGCACAGTAATAAACAGCAGAGTCTTCAGTCTTCAGACTGTTCATCTGCAGATACAGCTGCTGTCTGCTGTTGTCTCTGGAGATGGTGAACCGGCCTCTAACTGACTCAGAGTAGAATGTGCCACTACTATCAGAATATATGTAAGAGATCCACTCCAGTCCTTTTCCAGGAGCCTGTCTGATCCAGCCCATCCAGTAGCTGCTGAATGATAATCCAGAGGCTGTACAGGTCAGTCTGTGGGATTCTCCAGGACGTTTAACCACCGGCTCAGATTCAGTCAGAGTCTGACCACCAACACCTGAAAAGACAGAAGAAAAAAACCAACAGATTGAAGTGAGTTTGTTGTCATGAGGTGAAAAAGTCCAACTCAGATTAGTGATGATCTCCACCTGTCCAGCAGACAGTCAGAAGCAGCAGTCCTGTCCTATAGTCCATCATGTCAAACTGAGTGTCCACTGTCCTCTGTCCTCCTCTCTGCACTCACTGAAGTAGAGGAGGAAGACGGCTGACTTTGCATTGACTCCTCCTCTCAGAGAGATTGATCCTGTTTTTGTCTACTTCTAACCTGAGGGATTAGGGTGTTAAATTTAACTGAACTTTGAAAATGATTGAAGTTAACAGGAACCTCCCCTCTGTCACCTGTTGGTTGTTAAAGAACCAAACGTTAAATTTGAATTAGAGACACTGAATGAATGTTTTAAATCTGATGAATCAGAGAGTGAGGTCCTCATATTAGAATCAGAATCAGAATCGCCTTTATTGTCATTGTACACAGTACAAGGAAATTTGAGCGCCACTCCCTTTGGTGCAAAACAATGGTTCTAAATAAATACTAAACTGAAAGCAATTTAAAAACACTAAGATAAGAAAGTAAAAGGTAGTAATATATACAGAATATATACAAAGCAGAAATGATATGAAAAAAAAAACAGATTATTGCACAGTGAAGACCAGCAATATTGCATGGTTAAATGATTCATTTATTGCACTGTGATCAATGTGATCAGTATATATGTTGGTTGAGGGGGACGGGTTCAACTGGACTTGTTGTTGTTGGTCAATCCTTACTCAGTAAGAGGCTGATCCATGGGTGTCCAAAGACGGGGACACTGTCAACTCTTGGCCAACCTGGCTCTTAAAGGGAATAATAGGAGACTCTGATTGGTCTGATTCATGTTATACAAAAACACACCTCAAGATAATCAAGGACTTTATCTGAGATCATTAAGTATAGAACCTTTAAAGTGTCTATTTCTCTCTGTCTAACTCTGAACTGGTGTTATGATGATTGTTGGTCTGAGGGCTCCTCCTCTGGTGGCTTCATGTCACAGGTGTTCAGGCTCTGAGGGGTTTTTGTTCAGCTCTACAGATGGTTTGTGTTGTTGTGGGTCTCTGGCACAGTAATAAACAGCAGAGTCTTCAGTCTTCAGACTGTTCATCTGCAGATACAGCTGCTGTCTGCTGTTGTCTCTGGAGATGGTGAACCGGCCTCTAACTGACTCAGAGTACCAGGTGCTACTGCTGTCATGTGTGATAGTAGAGATCCACTCCAGTCCTTTTCCAGGAGCCTGTCTGATCCAGGCCATCCAGCTGCTGCTGAATGTGAATCCAGAGGCTGTACAGGTCAGTCTGTGGGATTCTCCAGGACGTTTAACCACCGGCTCAGATTCAGTCAGAGTCTGACCACCAACACCTGAAAAGACAGAAGAAAAAAAACAACAGATTGAAGTGAGTTTGTTGTCATGAGGTGAAAAAGTCCAACTCAGATTAGTGATGATCTCCACCTGTCCAGCAGACAGTCAGAAGCAGCAGTCCTGTCCTATAGTCCATCATGTCAAACTGAGTGTCCACTGTCCTCTGTCCTCCTCTCTGCACTCACTGAAGTAGAGGAGGAAGACGGCTGACTTTGCATTGACTCCTCCCTTCACAAAGAAAATTAATGTCACCTTCATGTTTTGTGGTTTTCATATATTTTGCTTAATTTTCTCATAATTCTTCTTCATTATTAACTCCAGTTTGGTCTCACAGTGAAACACAACTTCAGGTACAAACTGATATTTTACAGCGTCCCTATTTTCTTCCACATAAAGGAAATCTTTAGTCTTCATCCCTCTATACAAACACTTTAGTTCTCACTATTTCGATAGTGTTGATATTGTAGTAACTATGGATCATTGATTATCACCTTTGTTTGTAATAACAGTGAGAGACAACATCAGTTAGTCTGCAGGAAACAGAAGCTGTTGTATGAACTCAGAGTCCGTCATTCTCTCTGTGTCACATGGTAAAGGTCCAACACAGTAATGTTTCTACTGTCACCAGTCACAGTCTGCCGCACCATAGTTCATTTGAAGGAGCAAGTCCCAGATCAGGCTCCCAGGAGCTCTGATCAGATGGAGTGGAGGGTGGGTTCAAGGCCTCAGTTCTGTTGTCAGTGACAGATATGATCCTCTTTTGGTTCAGAGTTTGAGTAACAAACCATCAGGGAAATGTGAGAACTGCTTCTGAATAAAGTGCCTGATCTGACAATATCTAAGAGGGTGCTTGTTGGTCAGATTATATTGAACTGGACAGGATGAAATAGGTGAAAGAGTTCAGACGAGGATTTTTAAAGTTGGTGGAGGTCATGTAGAAAAGTGAAGACTGAATCATTTAGAGTTTTTGAACAGTAAAGTTGAGTTTTCACTGCTGTTGAATGGATGCACAGATTCACAGTCAGGTTTTCTTCTCAATGATGAAGTCATTGCTGCAGCGATGAGCGTCTAGACCAGGGGTCGGCAACCTTAAACACTCAAAGAGCCACTTGGACCAGTTTCCCACAGAAAAGAAAACACAGGGAGCCACAAAACCTCTTTGACATCTAAAATGAAGATAACATTGCATATATCTTTTTTTTACCTTTATACAAAGTATATAAAAAAACTGTAGCGAGTTGCATTTATGAAATAAATGAACTATTTCGGCGAGTGTCTGTCTTCTTCTGTAGTTAAACCGCAAGATATCAAAATCTACCCGGATACAGCAATGCTGCTTTTTGATTGGCTGTTCAGTAGATATACTTTATTTGATTGGCTTGTGCGTGCCACGCAGCTTCTGAACTCTCGGAGGAACTCAGTTGATTTCCCCCAGTTCCAAAGTTGAAGAAGTGCAACTTAGTGGAAATCACCGTGTTCATTTAAATGTGTGAGAAATACAATGTGTGGTGTGTGAGCGTGTGAACGAGTGGGAATGCGTGTGTCATACGCTGAATGCGTGAGACTTGAGAGCCCTGTGCTCACGCATCATCGATGTACTCCCGAGCCATGCAAAACGGTCTTTGCAAATGTTGCACTGAACGCCTTCCTTTTCAGTCTTGGTGAAGTTTTCCCACACCACTGATGTTTTAGGTCGGGATTTGGGTTGGGTTGTGTCCATGTTTTTCTCAGCCGCTGCCTCGGCCATTGCTGTTTCTCTTCTGTGCGTCCTGCTGATATTTACACGCCGGTGTCCATGGACATATATAAAGACCCGACGAATCAATTACAGAATTTGTTGGCAACGGATTTTTTCATCACGACGAATCTACTTAATCGATTCGTTGTTGCAGCCTTAATAGTTTATTTAATGTTACAAGAGCATTATAATCTTTGAATTTAGAATTACAAAAAAAAAAAAAAATAATAATAAAATAAAATAAAATGCAATTAAGTATTTATTATTTATTTTCCAAATCCACTGGGAGCCGCAGCTTAGGGAAGAAAGAGCCGCATGCGGCTCCAGAGCCGCGGGTTGCCGACCCCTGGTCTAGACGGCCTAAAGAAATCGACTGAAATCAGTCCAGTTATTTTCATGAATAACTCCCATCATTCAGTGGGAAGTGTCTTTTCAAAGCCCGGACGTTCTCCAGAGCTCCTCACACAGCCATCATCAGTGTAGTTCAGTTTTTGTCCAGCTCTGTAGTCCCCTGTGTCACTGTGGCTCTCGAGCACAATAATAAACTGCAGAGTCTTCCTGTTTGAGGCTCTTCACCTCCAAGTACACAACATTAACCGATGTGTCCTTGGTGATGGAAAACTGGCCCTGTAGACTTTGGACAAATATTGTGCCGGTCCCGCTATCGATGCGACCGATCCACTCCAGTCCTCTTCCTGGTTTTTGACGAATCCAGTGCAGCCAAGCCAGAGCAAGTCCTTCCACTTTACAGGACAGAGTGACCGGTTGTCCTGGTCTGCTGACTACTGGTTCTGAGGAGGTGAGGGACTGGCCCTGAGCGGCTGAAAGGGACCCAGAGTTTTAGAGGACAAGGAGTCAGCAGACATGCAGAGATCACTTTCTGCTCCTCTGCTGCTCAATAAAGACACTCACCTGAAATCAGAGCCAAGAGGAGGAAACTTTGGACCCCTGTCATGGTGGAGACTTGGCTCAGCCTATGAGAGTGACGGTCATTATGAAGGATATATAGAGCAGGCAGAGCGGCTGTGTCAGGTGCATCAGCATGTATATTTGCATTTTACTCACCAGAGATTTGGGTGATGATGATGATGTGAAAATGAAACTCTGAGACAGAGACTGTGGACTTCAGACAGACTGAGACACCAACAGTCAAAGATGTCCTTCAGTCTTTCTCCTTATTTGAGTTTTTTTAACCAGTTTTTCACCTTTCCTCCTGTGAGAACGAGTCAGAACAACATGAGATGGTGAACTGATGAACACATGACTCTGCAGTCAGTAACTAATGATACAGTGAGTGTTAGAGTTCAGTCAGTCAATGGTTTGAGTCTTTGAGTGAAGGTCAGTGAGATAAGCCGGTCTGAGTGTTTCTGAACAGTAAGAGAGGAAAACTTGACACTGACTGCCACCTGCTGTTTCAGAACTGAAATAACATTCACTGGGAATGATTTCTGTAGATGGGTCGCTCTGTTGTTTTTATCCAGGGGGGGATTAATGTGGTTAGACACATTTGTAGTTATTTAATAAATATATACTGTTGTCCATGAAAAAGAAAGTTTCACAGTTTCTCAATTTCATAATTTATTTAATCAGAACTGAAATTATTCCAGAGAACTATCAACAACAAAAGAGTCCTGTAGGTTTTTGTACAGCTGCTCAGCAGACTCCAGTCACTGTGGGTCTCTGGCACAGTAATAAACAGCAGAGTCTTCAGTCTTCAGACTGTTCATCTGCAGATACAGCTGCTGTCTGCTGTTGTCTCTGGAGATGGTGAACCGGCCTCTAACTGACTCAGAGTAGAAGATGTGACTACTACTAGAAGGGTGCATATTAGCGATCCACTCCAGTCCTTTTCCAGGAGCCTGTCTGATCCAGGCCATATAGAAGCTGCTGAATGTGAATCCAGAGGCTGTACAGGTCAGTCTGTGGGATTCTCCAGGACGTTTAACCACCGGCTCAGATTCAGTCAGAGTCTGACCACCAACACCTGAAAAGACAGAAGAAAAAAACCAACAGATTGAAGTGAGTTTGTTGTCATGAGGTGAAAAAGTCCAACTCAGATTAGTGATGATCTCCACCTGTCCAGCAGACAGTCAGAAGCAGCAGTCCTGTCCTATAGTCCATCATGTCAAACTGAGTGTCCACTGTCCTCTGTCCTCCTCTCTGCACTCACTGAAGTAGAGGAGGAAGACGGCTGACTTTGCATTGACTCCTCCTCTCAGAGACTAAATGAGTGTGGACCTCTTTTTTTTCTGCTTAATTTTTTTGCATATTTGTTAATATTGAAGTCACTCATATGTCTTTTTTTTAAAAATAAATTTATTTAAAAGCATAAAGGCGTTTCAGTGATGATAGGAGCAGCTGAGTTCTGAACCAGCTTTAGTTTATGGAGAGATTTGTGAGGAAGACCAGAGTCACAGTCATCAATACAGGAGGTGACAAGGCTGTGGACCAGGATTGAAGTGGTATGGGGGTTGATGTTGCAGAGTTGAAACATGCAGACAGAGTAATATTACTGATGTGAGCTTGGAATGATAAGGAGCTGTCAAGGATAATACCCAGACTTTACCCTGTGGAGGAGCTATATTGTTTGTATATTTGATATTTAAACCTCATTTAAAGACAGTTTCTGTCATTAAAAGCTGATGTAGAAATGATTGTTGGTCTGAGGGCTCCTCCTCTGGTGGCTTCATGTCACAGGTGTTCAGGCTCTGAGGGGTTTTTGTTCATCTCTACAGATGGTTTGTGTTGTTGTGGGTCTCTGGCACAGTAATAAACAGCAGAGTCTTCAGGCTGCATGTTCTGTCCGTTTAGAGTCGCTGTCATTCTGGACATATCAAAGTTGATATCAAATTTGTTCCTCAGTGAATCTTTGTAGTATGTGCTGTATCCTTGACATCCATAGAGAATCCACTCCAGTCCTCCCCCCTCAGGCTGTCTCATCCAGGCTGTCCAGTAGGTGTCAACAGAATAAGAGACCTGACAGGTGATGGTCAGACGTTGACCTGGCTGCACAGTCACAGAGGCTGGCTGAGTCATCTGTTCACACTTCACACCTGTGGAGGAAAAGATGTTGAATATTGAATCAGTGTATTCAGAGTCAGTGTGTTAGGATCAGACTGTCAGTGTGTCTGTCTCAGTGAGACTCACAGGATCCAGCAGCCAGCAGCAGCAGCAGAGCTCCAGAGAACATGGTTGGTGTTGAAGCTGACCTGATGGGAGCTTCTCTTCTTCTGTGACTCTCAGCCTGATGTCAAGTCTTTATATTGGACTGAGAGGAAGCTCACTTTGCATACAGACAGACAGACAGACAGACAGACAGACAGTGAATCTTTCCTCAACACAGAATTTCAAAGCTGCTGTTTATTCTTTTGCATTAAGGTTTAATACATTAACAACCATATCTTTATAAGGCATTCTGCTCACTGCTTATAGCACTTCATAAACATTGCTGTAAGCTGTTATAAGCTCTTATCATTCATAAGGGTTCTTATAAAGTCCTCCAGACTCATGGAAAAGGCTTCATAAATATATTTATGATCAAGTATAGTGAGTGGGTTTGCTAAATACTGCTAAGTGCTTCACTCATGTTGGGTCGAGATGGGTCAGATTAGTTCTCTTCTAGAGGTTGAGTCTTTGTAATTCATCAAACAGTGAGTTAGGTCTGGACCTGCTCTTTTAGAAAGGGTCTTGGGATGACGACTGTTTTTATTTAGGGTTATATAAATAAAAAATTGATTGATTAATTTAAAGTTAAACATAACAATGTTTAGTGGGACCATTTTAATGAGCAGATAAAGAGAAAAAATGACAGGAATCTGTCAGTCATGTGACTCTGACTCCTGTAGGTTTTTGTACAGCTGCTCAGCAGACTCCAGTCACTGTGGGTCTCTGGCACAGTAATAAACAGCAGAGTCTTCAGTCTTCAGACTGTTCATCTGCAGATACAGCTGCTGTCTGCTGTTGTCTCTGGAGATGGTGAACCGGCCTCTAAATAACTCGGAGTACCAGGTGCTACCACCACTGCTGCTGATTTCTGAGATCCACTCCAGTCCTTTTCCATTAGCCTGTCTGACCCAGGCCATTCCATAGCTGCCTAATGTGAATCCAGAGGCTGTACAGGTCAGTCTGTGGGATTCTCCAGGACGTTTAACCACCGGCTCAGATTCAGTCAGAGTCTGACCACCAACACCTGAAAAGACAGAAGAAAAAAACCAACAGATTGAAGTGAGTTTGTTGTCATGAGGTGAAAAAGTCCAACTCAGATTAGTGATGATCTCCACCTGTCCAGCAGACAGTCAGAAGCAGCAGTCCTGTCCTATAGTCCATCATGTCAAACTGAGTGTCCACTGTCCTCTGTCCTCCTCTCTGCACTCACTGAAGTAGAGGAGGAAGACGGCTGACTTTGCATTGACTCCTCCTCTCAGAGTGATTGATCCTGTTTTTGTCGACTCCTAACATGAGGGATTAGGGTGTTAAATTTGCGTGTCACCTGTTGATCATTAAAAAACCAAATGTTAAATTTGAATCAGAGACACTGAATGAATGTTTTAAATCTGATGAATCAGAGAGTGAGGTCCTCATATTAGCTGTAACTGTACAACAGTAACTCCTGATCAGCTCATCACTGTTTTAAACTGTTTTCATTCATTTTCTGACAACTTAGAGACAAGATACACTTCCAATATGATCCCACTCACTTAATGATTATAATAATAACAACTATTCTAAGAGAACCTGAAAACTCTGACCCATTGTTAGTTATTGTGGAGACACAGTTTCACCAAGTCAGACAGAGTTTCAGAAAAATATGAATTTTTCTTCTATGGAAAAATAAAACTTCCAACTAAATTTTCATTATTTTTTTGTCAGTGTATAAAGAAATTACTGAAGATCTGTCAGTAAAAAAAACCTGTGGATCAATGAAAATAAAACTTTGTTGATTCGTTTTTCTATTTATTTTTTTATGTACACTACAGGCCAAAAGTTCGGAAGCAAGATCAGATTTGTACAAAAAAGATCATCGTTTCATATCTATAATTTCCAACACAATAAACATGACAATTGTGTAAAGAGTAACTTACCAGAAGACATTTTGACTATAATTATGAGGTATTTGAGTTATTGTTGCTTAGACTTTGCTTTCTTTAAAGTAACCTCCTCTGGCTTTAACAACAGCTTGGCATATACCAGGCATTCGTTCACCAAGTTTTCTAAGGTCTGTTCCAGGGATTACATTCAAGCTTTCTTAAGTTCATTAAAAAGAGACGCTGATTCGTGGGACGCGTTTTTCTGACCGATCAATCCAATTCATCCCGCACAAGCTCAGTTGGAGAAAGGTCTGGAGACTGAGGGGTCCAAACCATCTTTTGAAGAACACCTTCCTCTTCTTTTTTGTCTTGGTAACCCTGACAGAGCTCGGCAGAGTGCTTAGGGTCATTGTCTTACTGCAAAACAAACTTATGAACCACAAGTCTGAGTCCAGATGGAGCAGCATGGTGCTGGAGGATGGAGTGGTACTGTTCCTTCTTCATGATACCCTTTACTTCAAACAAATCTCCTACTCCATCACCTGATAAACATCCCCATACCATGAACTACCACCTCCATGCTGAATTGTGGGTGTAACACATGGAGCTTTCAGACGTTCACCAGTTTGTCTGCGGACATAGACTCTGTGTTTGGAACCAAACAGTTCAAACTTGTTTCTCGTGATCATAAGTCCAGTTTTTGTGAGCTTTTGCCCACTCATATCTCTTTTTCTTCTTCTGTGGATGAAGTTGTGTTTTTCTGTAGATACACAACCCTTCAGACCAGCCTTTCTCAAACATCACGATTGTCCGAGATATGGGTTTCGACCTTGTCATGTTGATTTCCTCCCTTATTTTTGGTGCTGTCTTTCGCCGATCTCTCTTACTGGTGACAATGCTCTGTTTATCCTCTGCTTTTGTAGTGACTCTCTTTCGTCCAGGTCTTTTTCTATCATCAGAACTTCCAGGTTCCTCTCGTCTCTTCAGAGTGTAGTGGACTCCTTTGTTAGACACCTTTAGGCGTTTTTCTCTTTCTGTGTATCCTTCTTTCCTCAATGTACAAATCTGTACTTTTGTTTCTTCACTCAGTTGCGTCTTTCTGGGCATTTTTGCGGTAGTTTGAACGCAGTTGAGATTTATTAGGATTTTTGTCTGCAGACTCTCAAAAGACAAAAAGTTGAAGTGAATAATCCAACTGTGATTTGTTTTTTCGTGTTTGCACTGAAGTTGTGACTCTTGCAAATGTTTTCAACCCTAAAACTAAGGCCTTATTATCTTTAGCTGACATATATTTAGCAATGGTCTGTTAACATCAATGTATATCTAAAGGTAAATGTAGTAAAATGGTGCATTTCCATGAAAGCAACATCTGATCATGGAGTAAATACATCCCAAAATACATCAAACTCATGCTGGATTTAAAAAAAGCATTGTGAGCAAAAACTTGAAGTTACTCCCAACTGTTCGGCTTGTAATGGTCTTGCTTCCAAACTTTTGGGCTGTAGTGTATATCTGCATTGAAATGTTATTTTTTTAGTTGTGTATATTTATAAAAACAGAAATAATAATATATTTTAAATGTCACAATGATCAAGTTAAGTAAAATACATTTTTTAATGATTGTACTTTAGATATGTGTCACAGTTCTGACAGTTTCCAGAGTCATTATGATGATTGTTGGTCTGAGGGCTCCTCCTCTGGTGGCTTCATGTCACAGGTGTTCAGGCTCTGAGGGGTTTTTGTTCAGCTCTACAGATGGTTTGTGTTGTTGTGGGTCTCTGGCACAGTAATAAACAGCAGAGTCTTCAGGCTGCATGTTCTGTCCGTTTAGAGTCACTGTGTTTCTGGAGGAGTCTAAATCGATGCAGAACTTGTTCTTCAGTGAATCTTTGTAGTATGAAGTACTGCCAGCTCTCATCCCGATCCACTCCAGTCCTTTCCCTTCAGGCTGTCTGATCCAGGCTGTGTGGTAGCTGTTGACAGAATAAGAGATCTGACAGGTGATGGTCAGACGTTGACCTGGCTGCACAGTCACAGAGGCTGGCTGAGTCAGCTGTTCACACTTCACACCTGTTGAAAAAGAGAAAATGTTTGGTACCAAATGATGGAGTTGAGCTGTAAAAGAAGAACTGTGGACTTTGACAGATCCAGACTGACTCACATCCAGCTGCCAGCAGCAGCAGCAGCAGCAGAGCTCCAGAAAACATGGTTTATGTTGAAGGTGAGCAGCTGTGAACTCCACTGACAGCCTGATGGACAGTTTTTATAGCTGAGGAACAAGGAAGCTCTCTGAGTTTGCATAGAATCAAACAGATGAAGCAGCAGCAGAGTTGGTCTGCTCACTGTTTGGTAGTAATATTCATATTTGTATGAGATGATAATGATGATGAGGTGAAATCTGTTGATGATTTGACTGTGTCACAGGCTAATATCAGAACTATCCCTCCAAACTGGAGAAACCTCCTGGAAGTTCAATTTGTAATTGTTCTATAATAGGGCTGAAATTCACCTTACCCTTCCAGTGTTTCCCCGAGCTTTTTCACTTTGGCAGCGAGGTGGTGGGGCGTATGACGTAGACAAACGTCACCCTGTATGACATTTGTCTGTGTCTACGTCATACAGGATGGTGGGAGATGAACCAGCGCTGTTTTTATGAGGTTAGGAGAGATGATGAAGCTAGCATCCAAAAGAGAGTGTGCAGCGTCTTGATAAAAAAATTTAAAATTTAACATATATATTAATCTACGACTTCAATAACTGTGTTGGGATCTCGTTGGCAGGGCGGGGATACATTATAGGGGAAACACTGTCTTGAATCCTTGAAGCTCTTCTTTAGTTTGACGGTAATACTGCAGGAATCTAATGTTTCAGTGCTCATGAGTCAGTGCTGTTACCTTTGTGCTCAAATCACCTGTGTGTTTGTTTCTTTCTGCTCGTTCTTGTGTTCATTCTTGAAGAGGATCAGAGCAACACTCAGTCAGTCCTAGACTGCCCTCTAGAGTTTAAAGACAAACTGGAATATTCCAGTTTCAGATTTCACTTCAAAAGGGACATTTTGACAGAGTTTCTCAAGTCTGTTGGAGAGTCTAAACTCAGACTGTGGATGTTGGATTCTTGAACTTGGACTGCAGAGAGAGGAGGGTCCTCTTTGGGAACATGAAACCTGTGGTTATTTTCATTCAACTGAATCTAGAAGGACTACAGAACTTTCTGCAAAGACTTGAACTTGAATTGATTTTCTAAATTTTGTTGCTGATAAAAAAGTCAATGTAGTCATCTGATGAAACTTCAGTCACAGCTGTTCAGTAAAAAAGAGTCCTGTAGGTTTTTGTACAGCTGCTCAGCAGACTCCAGTCACTGTGGGTCTCTGGCACAGTAATAAACAGCAGAGTCTTCAGTCTTCAGACTGTTCATCTGCAGATACAGCTGCTGTCTGCTGTTGTCTCTGGAGATGGTGAACTGGCCTCTAACTGACTCAGAGTAGAAGGTGCTACTACCATCGCTGCTGATTTCTGAGATCCACTCCAGTCCTTTTCCAGGAGCCTGTCTCACCCAGTTCATCCAGCTGCTGCTGAATGTGAATCCCGAGGCTGTACAGGTCAGTCTGTGGGATTCTCCAGGACGTTTAACCACCGGCTCAGATTCAGTCAGAGTCTGACCACCAACACCTGAAAAGACAGAAGAAAAAAAACAACAGATTGAAGTGAGTTTGTTGTCATGAGGTGAAAAAGTCCAACTCAGATTAGTGATGATCTCCACCTGTCCAGCAGACAGTCAGAAGCAGCAGTCCTGTCCTATAGTCCATCATGTCAAACTGAGTGTCCACTGTCCTCTGTCCTCCTCTCTGCACTCACTGAAGTAGAGGAGGAAGACGGCTGACTTTGCATTGACTCCTCCTCTCAGAGACTAAATGAGTGTGGACCTCTTTTTTTTCTGTTTAATTATTTTGCATTTTTGTTAATATTGAAGTCACTCAAATGTCTTTTATAATAATACATTTTATTTGAAAGCATAAAGGTGTTTTTTTGATGATAGGAGCAGCTGAGTTCTGAACCAGTTTTAGTTTATGAAGAGATTTGTCAGGAAGACCAGAGTCACAGTCATCAATACAGGAGGTAACAACCCACCGAGCATTTTTTGGTCTAAAAGAGGTCTAATAGACGTCTAAATGTAGCCTAGACGAATGGTCTAAAATCAGGCTACCACAGGTCTAAAAATGAAAGTTTTTAGACGTGTGAATTTAGACCAAGTTTAAGACTAGCTGGCCAACAGAGGTATAACTGTATATTGCTTGAAGGCTATCATCATTATTTTGGTTAAATACTTGGAGATCAGTTATGAAACTCACAGTTGCTTTTTGAAAAAAATCGTTATCAAATAATGGGTTAAAGTGCAACGTCTAAATTCTGTCTAAAAATATACAGACTCTAGACGGTTGAAATTAGGTCTAAAAAATACTAGACGTCTACTAGCCGTCTATTGCTCAGTGGGAAGGCTGTGGACCAGGATTGAAGTGGTATGGGGGTTGAGGGGTGGGGTGGGGGTTGATGTTGCAGAGTAGAAACATGCAGACAGAGTAATATTACTGATGTGAGCTTGGGATGATAGAGAGCTGTCAAGGATAATACCCAGACTTTACTCTGTGGAGGAGCTATATTGTTTGTATATTTGATATTTAAACCTCATTTAAAGACAGTTTCTGTCATTAAAAGCTGATGTAGAAATGATTGTTGGTCTGAGGGCTCCTCCTCTGGTGGCTTCATGTCACAGGTGTTCAGGCTCTGAGGGGTTTTTGTTCAGCTCTACAGATGGTTTGTGTTGTTGTGGGTCTCCGTACACAGTAATAAACAGCAGAGTCTTCAGTCTTCAGACTCTGTCCTCTTAGAGTCACTGTTCCAGCTGAAGTGTCTCTGCTGTAACTGAACTTGTTCTTCAGAGCATCATTTTGGCGAAGTGTTCCACCACCCCACTGATGAGAAATCCAGTCCAGTGGTTTTCCTTCACACTGTCTGATCCATCCTGTTCCATAGCTGTTATCAGTCAGAGAATAACCAGAGACCTGACAGGTGATGGTCAGAGACTGTCCAGGCTGAACAACCTTGGAGTCTGGCTGGATGAGATCAATACTGTTGACACCTGTGGAAACACAAACCAACATGATCTCCATCATTCATGTTCTTATTCAGTCGATCTGATGGGATTATTAGTTTAAAGCTCCTCACAGGATCCAGCAGCCAGCAGCAGCAGCAGAGCTCCAGAGAACATGGTTGGTGTTGAAGCTGACCTGATGGGAAGTCCTCTGTCCTTAAACTGACACACACACACTTATGTACTTATATGGAAACACCAGGACCCAAATTTACATACAGAAGAGGGTAAATCAGCTGACTGAGTGTAGTTTAAACCGATTTGAATTAAAGTGAAATCCTCCGTTTCCTCTTATTGCTCAGACAGAGTGTGTAAGTTCAGACATGTCATATATAATTCAGACTGGTGTTGAGTTCACCTTTTTAAACAGACAAAGAAACGGCACCATGGAGCCAAATGAGAACAGCTGCTGCTCTTAGTGATGCACATGTTATCCTGATTCTGAACCTGCACCAGGAAAAATCCCAGCAAAGACACAGACTGGGTTAGAGTCCTGTGTTCAGAGTGAAAGGAGGGCTGTGTTACTCACTCACCAACATTTAGGGGGTGTTGGAAGTTAATTTCAGTCAGAGTTAAAAAAGACAGAAAATAAAGAGTTCTAATGAAAATGGTGAGCACTGCAATTCTCTGAACTGTGATGGTAAAAAAATGGAAATGAAACCATTAGTGGTCTTAGAGCTCCTCCTCTGGGGGCTTCAAGTCATACAAACTTACAAGGGGAACAAATCCTCCAAAGGCCTGATTTATTTTCACAGTTAAATCTGCATGAGTGAGGCAGTCAAACTCTTATTCTTAAAGCCAGAGCTTTGTGTGAAATCCCCCCAAACTGTGAGAAAGACAAACTGATTATTTCCTTTGGAAGAGGCTGTAAGCTGCAAGAATGATTCTGTCTGTGAAATGAAAAGAATAAGAGTGAAGTCTGAGGTTCAAAACTGACTTCAGCATTCAGGAAAAAAAAGATTGGATAGGACTAAAATACTCAGTTTGTACACAGACTTTAATCACTGACAATCAACCAAAGTGAGTATTGTAGGAGTATTGAAGAAGATGAACGTTCAGTGTTGGCTGTAAAAAGAGGAAGTGGTTTTTGTACGACTCCACAGTTATTGTCTCTCACTGTGTCTCTGCGGGCACAGTAATAAACAGCAGAGTCTTCAGTCTGCATGTTCTGTCCGTTTAGAGTCGCTGTGTTTGTGGAGGAGTCTAAATCGATGCTGAACTTGTTCTTCAGTGAATCTTTGTAGTAAGTGCTACTGCCAGCTCTCATCCCGATCCACTCCAGTCCTTCTCCAGCAGGCTGTCTGATCCAGTTTGTGTAGTAGCTGCTCATAGAATAAGAGACCTGACAGGTGATGGTCAGACGTTGACCTGGCTGCACAGTCACAGAGGCTGGCTGAGTCAGCTGTTCACACTTCACACCTGTTGAAAAAGAGAAAATGTTTGGTACCAAATGATGGAGTTGAGCTGTAAAAGAAGAACTGTGGACTTTGACAGATCCAGACTGACTCACATCCAGCTGCCAGCAGCAGCAGCAGCAGCAGAGCTCCAGAAAACATGGTTTATGTTGAAGGTGAGCAGCTGTGAACTCCACTGACAGCCTGATGGACAGTTTTTATAGCTGAGGAACAAGGAAGCTCTCTGAGTTTGCATAGAATCAAACAGATGAAGCAGCAGCAGAGTTGGTCTGCTCACTGTTTGGTAGTAATATTCATATTTGTATGAGATGATAATGATGATGAGGTGAAATCTGTTGATGATTTGACTGTGTCACAGGCTAATATCAGAACTATCCCTCCAAACTGGAGAAACCTCCTGGAAGTTCAATTTGTAATTGTTCTATAATAGGGCTGAAATTCACCTTACCCTTCCAGTGTTTCCCCGAGCTTTTTCACTTTGGCAGCGAGGTGGTGGGGCGTATGACGTAGACAAACGTCACCCTGTATGACATTTGTCTATGTCTACGTCATACAGGATGGTGGGAGATGAACCAGCGCTGTTTTCGGGGCTGGGAGAGATGATTAAGCTAGCATTCAAAAGAGAGAGTGCGGCGTCTACATTT